TCTTTACCAGTTCAGCCTGGGCCCATTTCCAGAGGCCGTCTGTACTTCACAGGGATTGAACCCACAACCAGGACCTCTTTGGAGCAAACCAGCTGGCTTGCTCTGAAGTCGGCATCTGGCTTCCAGCTTTGCACACATGCTCTGTCTGGGCTCCAAAGTCTCATGGCTGAAGCTTCTGGAATGCCCTAGGCATTGCTGAATCAGATGGTTTTCAGTTTCAGTGATCCACAGATTCCAATGTGCAGACCATTCTTGGGGTAGCTTGAAGCCCCCCTTTTCTTTAGCTGCCTCTAAAATGCAGTGTCCTTCAGGCCCATTTCAAGTGAGATATGACCTGAGGGATTGCCTGTGCTTCCTCCCACTCCACCCCATGGCTTTGAAGGCGTTACTCTGCCCTGATGTTTGTATGACAGACATTCCTTTTGTAGTGCTCGACCCCAGGCAGGTCTGTGAAGCACATGGCCCAGCATCCTGGATTTCTACATGACCCCAGGCATCTTGCTGTGAGCTCTGAGACCTCTAGAAGGCTCCAGGGACTTCCTGCATCCCAGCAACACAGGAAACAGCATGTGGAACCCTGTTTTCATGTGTGTGCCGGCAGGGGTGAGTTGCACCTGGCCACTGAAGGCCTCCAGCCGCCACTCTCTTTGGAGCATCTCAGCAAAGAGAAAGGTGAATCCCTCTATCCCATTCCACACTAGAAGAGTCAGGGCACATGAATCATCCTGTTTCCCATCTGTTGAGACTGGATATTCTAGAACTTGCCATCAATGGAGAACTGGACAGTGTTGCCTTCTTCTTCATATTTGTTTGACCAATACACTGACTATGCCTTCCTGATGATGTCTACTGGGCTCCTGCAAATACCGTGTACATGAATAAGACAGCGAGGAGTCTGAGTTTCAGAAGGATCGTTGTGAGCCACAGAGCAAATGGAGCCAGCTCAGAAGCTAGGTAGCCAGGCCCACGTTTGAATCCGGCTACACATTTCACAGTTGGGTGACTTAGGCAAGTCACTGCATTTCTTCCAAAACAGTTTCCTCATCTGTGATAATGGAGATAAGGGAGCATGAGATGCATTAAAAGATGACAGACATGAACGATGAGAACACAGATTACTCCATAGTTTCTTGGTTAATTTTAGTTATCATGCTTTTCCTGCTTGCTGGGGGCTCCTCATAGGAAGAAGGAGGATGTGGTGGAAATGTTGCCAAGAGTTCATCTGATCCCATTTTACTTTCTGCTTTTAAACTACTAGATACTGACCCCACCTGATGGCACACTGGGGTCAGGTGACTGAAACCTAACCAATGGGATGTGGGCCCAAAGCTTGACACTGTATCCAGGTCTGATATTTACAGGCTCTCACCCCTGGTCTCTCTCATTCGTATAGTCAGGAATGAAGAAGCCCGGGATGTGGAAGGCAGAGGATGCAAGAATCTTAGCATGGAGATGGCGTAAAAGGACAAGTGCCCAACCCGTGCTGGCCAGAGAAGGGATCTTCTTATCACACTGAGCCACTGACCTGCCAGGGGCTGCCTGCTACTTAAGCAGAACACAGCTTATCCAGACTTAATTCAGAGGCCAAAACTAGAAGAGAATGGACCAAGGAACTAGCCAGTCAAGATACAATGAATATTACTAGTTTGAATATAAAATGCTCGCCCCTGCCCCCCATGCCTTTGACGGTTAGCCCAGTCCCTGGTCCCTTTCTCTCCTCTCTGCTTCCTGTCAACCAGGGGTCAAGACCCTCTTCACTACAGCTGATGATTGATGGCGACTCTGAGCTAAAATACACAATTCCCCTCTTAAATTGTTGTGCCGGGGATTGGGTCACCACCGTGGAAGGTTAATACACACAGGCAGTGTACTTTTTCATCAAGAGGGAAGTAACTGCTGGAATCTGAAAACAAAAGTAGCCGTTCACTTCTTGCATCGTTTTCTGTTGGAACCAGACAGCTGTGCTGGCAAAGGGCGGGTCTTGTAACGGGAAAACCTGGCTGTGTAGACCCTGCCTTACATGCAGCATCACAGCTGCTCCATTTCCACGCCCAGAGCGATGCACGATCCTATGCTTAACAACAGCTCTTCCATAAATTTCAGTCCGTGGCTGTCAGTTTCTGCAGCAGAAACACATTCTGGTTTAAAATTGCACATCACACCATGTGTCGTGTCTGGGGACCACCTGTCGAAGGGTGCAGGCGTTTGTAATTAAGGAAAGACAGAGTCATAAGTGATCATAGCCAATCCTTGTTAGAATGTGGACACACATGTTTAAACAAACACTACACCCCCTAGCCCATGGTTGTCCTATGCCAATCGGGCCAGAAATCAACCCTTTATGTTTTCGAAGACCTCAGGGCCTTTGTGTCACCTACTGTCCTCTGTCCTAGAACAAATATAAATGTTCACACCTAGACTGGCTAGCTCTTTATTTCTTCTGCGGAGTTTTATGTAACCCAGGACAGCTGGCGTTTCACTGTGGTGACCCTGCATTTCCTCACTAATCTGTTTATGTCACATTTGCTCCAGTCTCTAAGCCATGGGCATGCTGTCCCTTCATGAAAGCACAGATTTACGTGTTTCCAAAAGGTTCTACCCTAAGTAAATTTCAACTTAGTCCCTTCCTCTGCAATGTCTGCCATTTGCTAACGGAGGCAACGATTGCAGCAAGAATCAAGTCTCAGTAGTGCAAATACAGTGCATTAAAATGCCCTATTTTAAAACTCACTGAAGGGCTGGGGTGTAATCAGCTAATATTAACCAAGAGCTTGTGAAGCAGTAGTTTTCATTCCTATCCTTCATACTCATCATGCCCTAGGTATTGCTAAAATAACCACAGTATTACTAAAAAAAATGTCTCAAATGAAGACGAGACGAATAAAAGCCAATGACTGCTGCTCCCCAAAGAAGTGTCTATTGCTTCCCATGGAGTTACATATTCAATATAACTTCCCAAGAATTCTCTCACTTCTCCTTACAGTTGTCAGAGATAGGCAAGAATGCTCTCAATAAAGCCATTAGAGACTGCAGAGATTGCTCTGGTGCCATGATGCTTATCTTGTAAATAGAGGGACCTAAATTCAAACCACAGAATCCACATAGAAATAAAGCCAGGTGTTGACGACCGTGTTTGCAATCCCAGCCTTGAGGAGGTGGACACAGGAGGAACCCTGGGGCTCACTGGCCAGCAGCTTAGTCTAACTAGAGAGCCTCAGGTCAGCAACAGGCCTTTGCCTCAAAAGCTAAGGAGGGTGGTGCTTGAGACACCTAGATTATCCCCTGGCTTTCACACATACACACAAACATGTGCATAACATATACAAGTACACCACAAATGAAAATAAAGAAAGCAGGCCATTAGACAGTTGAGGAGTTACTGGATCCTGGCCATATCAAATGATGTTAAGTTCAGTATAGAATGTCATTCCATACAAGAGAGTTTGGCTTTACAGAGAAATGAGAACATATACTCATTCCTGACCAGGGAGAGCTTCAGCTCTGACCAATAGTACAGGATGCAGAGTGAAATTTGAACTCCAAATAAACACCGGGATAATTTTAAGTGCCTGTCCCACATTTGGGCCATGCTTATGTTTTTAAAAACACACAACCTGGTATTCAAGTGTATCTGAGCATCCCGTGTCTTACTGAATGGGACTTCCCTGACTGAACTGAATGGGTGCTGGGTATTGTGGGTCAGATGTAGAATGTACCGTTGCCTCTCATCTTCCTTACTCTTCTGTTACTGTGATGCAACACCACAGCCAACTTAGCTTATAGGAGGAAGCATTTAATTGAGGGCTTCATGCAGTTTCAGAGGGTCAGTCCATGATCACCACGGCGTGGAGCATGGTGGCAGGAGGCAGGCATGATGGTGGAGCACAGCTGAGTGCGTATGTCTGACCCAAATGCTGTCACAGAGAGCACAACTGGCCCAGGTATGGGCTTGTGAAATCTTAAGAGCCCAACCCTGGAGACACGCCTCCTCCAACAAGGCACACCTCCTAATACTTCCCAAACAGTTCCACAAACTGGGTACCAAACATTTAAACATTATGAGCCTATTAGAACCATCCAAACCACCACACCTCATGAGTCTGGCTGCAGTGGAAAGAATTCCAGTTCCGGGCTGGACTTGGTAATTGTTAGCCAAACTCCTGTAAGGTAGGGGTCAGGGGTAGTGTTTGTTCATGGAAGACATCATGACAAAACAGATGCCGTAGGCAGGGCAGTGGCCTATCTTCTGACCTTGGCCCCAGTGAGCACTTTGTGTGGAATTGGGATGGGGAGGGGCACCTTTAGGAAGCTGCAGAAGATAGAAGAAACTGTTACCAGTCTCTCACAAACTAATGCTACAATGTGAATTTGGAGGCTATGGACCCTGGCAAGGAGGACTGGGCAATCGGGGAGAACTATAAAGGTGACAGCCGAGCCTGAATTCCTCCAGTGCCATCGGAGAAGAGTGCAAAGTCACTTACCTGGTGATGAACACAGATAAACACAGCTGTGACAGGCAGAGTTCTGAGACTCACTGGCCAGTCAGTTTTAGCTACCTGACAATCCCCAGGCCAGTGAGAGCGCCTGCTTCAACAGAGTAAGGCAGACAGTGCTTGAGAACAGTAGCCGAGGTTGTCCTCTGGCCTACACAGGCACAGGCACACGCACACACTCGCTCTCTCAAGAGCACACGCACGCACGCGCGCGCGCACACACACACACTCTCACTCTCCCGAGGGCATGCATGCACACACACGCGCGCACACACACACACACACACACACACACACACACACTCTCACTCTCCCGAGGGCATGCATGCACACACACACACACACACACACACACACATGCTAAGAGACACAGAAAAGCAAGCACAGTTACCTCAGGTCCCACTGCAGACCTTAGTTCCAAGGCAATGCAAGCCACGCCCCCTGGGGCCTTAGACTTCTGGCATCTTACTTGAGTAAAGAAAAACAACCAGCAAAGCAAGGCCCCGGTTCAGTTCATTGCAATTTATTTAATTTAAAAATAAAAACAGAAACGAAAATGACAGAAATCGATTCCAATGAGAAATGAACACTTTGGGTAATTAGCCAGCTTTTCTTTCCCTCTCCCTGTAGGCTGTTCTCAAACCAGTCAAAAGAGAAAACCAGCTTTGACTGGAGCCTTAAAGCCACGCTGCACCAATTAAATTACACCAATATATTATTATAATACCTTTGAAATGCCTTTTAGACCAATAAATAAAAAACGACAAATTCAAATTAAAATCAACCTTTTATTACCAAAAATATAGAAATTAAATAAAAGTCACAACATGGATTTAAAAAATGTGCAGTCAAGTTTTCTCACTTTCCTTTCCCTTCCTTTTTTTCCTTTTTCTTTTTTTCTTCTTCCTCCTAGGAATGATACCATGCCAGTAAATCCCCACAGAACAGTTCCAGTTTGGCAGCAAGCAGTGAGTCCCGTCATTCACATTTGTACTCAAGACAGCAGGCCTGGGCAAATCATGCCTGAATTTCACCCTGCAGAGCGCTCAGCTCATTTGGTAAAGAACCCCTGGCAGCAGAGACCAAATCCAGAGGGAATTTAGTACGGTCATGTCACCAAGGTCTTGAAGCACTTTCCTAAAAACTGATTGTGCCTTGAAATTTACCTGTAAAACGAAGTACAGCTCCACCCCTTGGCGGATGTGTAAACGAGGACAATGGGAGGGCCCCAGGGCAAAGAAAGGACCAGGAGAGCTGGCAGCAGTCTCCCCGTTCTGACCACCGGGTCATCAGAGTGTCTCTCACCGGTGACTCCATGGAAATGAATCAGGCACTCCTTCTTTGGCTGGGGATTGGCTTGTAGGTAACAGCACTTAATCGGGATGCTGCTTTTTAGGGCTCTCCTCTATTCTAACTTTTCCTCGCAGGGACAGTCAGCATCTCACTGAGAAGCAGGTGTCAGAATCGAGTCTGGCCTTGGGAAACCAGCCACCCACTTTTCCAGCTTCCAAAGGCAGGAAGCAGCTCTATCTCACACCACGGCAGGGGCCTGACACTACCAGAGCTAACGGCAGTCCTGGACTGCTGCCCTGGAATGGGTGGGAAGCATCGGCTTTTCCATAGAGTGCTGACAAAAGAGAGAAGAGAAGGCAGAGAATGGTTTTCCTAATGGAGACATTAGAACGATGGGAAATCCTAAACAGACACATCCCACCAAGCAGTAATGGCTGATGTACCTTAGACCAGTCCCACACTCAGCAGCCAGCTGTGCAGAGTGGGAGGGAAGGAGATGGGGGATTGGATGCTGCATGCTGCCCTCTCTGCACCCCAAACCCTCAAACCCACTTCTCTACCTACAGATTCTTCTCCCTTTCAGCCCCCACCAGAATTCAGGAAGGAGGTGAAACTGAACGGAAGGAACCCAAGCGGCTCCCCCAGTACTCTGCCCAGCTCAACCCAAAGGAAGCACAGGCCTTCCATGGGGGTGGGGGCACACAGAGACGAAAACCCCAGAAACATAGGGCGGCATCTTCCTGACAACTTTTCTCAGTGGTGTGCTGTTCCTAAAACTTCCCAAGATGCGTCCTCCCCCACCCTCTCTCTGGGAGGCTATCAGGAGGCAGCCACCTTAGAATTAGGCTTCTCATTTGCCCAACCCAGTGGGTTCCCAGGTCAGCCCCAAAAGACCACTTCAGCCCCAGGATGTCCACCGTGGGATGACGTCATCGTAATTTTAGTGTTGGGAGATTAGATAACTAGCTTGACCATTTTTAAGCATCCCGGCACACCCCTTTTTGCCTCCTCCAACGCCATCTGGATGACTCCTAAAGCAATGTCCCTAAGCTTCTCCCCAACACTCTTCTCTGTCAACATCTTGTGCCATGGATGGATGGAATTTGTTTCTCCCCAAAGTGCAGGAGATCAAAACCATGAGACAGAACATTTAGGTTAGGAGAAGCCAAGCAGCTTCTATCAAACCACACTTTCCCCATCCACACACCCACCTACACACACGCTAGCTCCCTAGAAGCAACCCATCTACTGTTAAGGTTCCATACTTGTGGATGGATTGGCCAGTGGCTCCCCCAGAGCATCACATCCAATGAAAGCGTTCCTGCAGGTGAGAAGCCAAGGGGCAGCAGCGTTCCAGTTAACACTGAGACATGAAAGAAGGTGAAACGTCTTGCCGCGGGCGTGTCTCACCTTCCATCGAACTGTGCAAAGACTGCAGAGGCTCTTTGCCCTGCCATTCACAACACCCTGGCCTCTCAATTTCCCTTTCTCCTTGCCCACCTTCAGGTGAGGCCAAAACAGGGAAGCGGGGGCAGACCCTGGGAAGCCAAACTTAGCAGCGCCTGACTGCGTCCTTAGCAGAGCTGAAAGCAACTGCTGCCTAAGCAAGTCCCTCTGTCTTCTACTCAAGGTTCAGGAGCAAATGAACAAATGCCATGCCGGGCCATGAAGGAGTCAGCAGGCACCACGGTGCTGTGACCCACTCCCAGGACTTGGTCCTGGCAGCCATGCTGTTCCCAACAGTCCTGACGCCACGAGCAGTTACTGGTACACATCACAGCAGCGGGTGTTGTGCCTAGGCCACTCAATCAGCATACAGTGCAGATGCTAACTGATCACCAAGTCAAGCTCAGGGTGCTGCGATCTTGCTGGCATCTGCAGGCAGACTAGGCTTGCTAAGGTATTCTTCCAAAGCAGATGTCCTCAGTATTCCTGCCCCTCCTCCAGAAATGCCTAGATGACCTCTAGGGACACACCCTCTCCCCCACAGTGCCCTCTCCCACTTCACGGTGGCTGACATCATCTTCCCTGGAGAGCCAATCCTATGTGAGATGCCACATGGGAATGCCAGTTAGGACCCACATTCTGACTGACAGCTGGCAGAACTGGTAAAGAACCATTTCCGAGTCAAGGCTCCAAACACTGGCTGGGCCAGACCTGACCGGGTATCGGCTAGCCAAGAGGTAACCAGCCTGAAGCTGCTGTTTCCCTCCTCCCTTGGACCCCCGCCCCCGCCCCGCCTGCCCCGCCCTCTGCGCCCTGAGGGGCTAGTTGAGCTTGCTGCAGATCTCCAGCGCTTTCTTATACACCTGAGTCACGTCATCCATATCTGTGAGGAGGGAGAAGCTGCTGTCTGCCAGCCGGTTCCGGTACCGCTTCAGGTACTGGGGCCGGGGCCGGCTGTGTGGTGTCTCAAAGTCCTGAAGCTGGAGAAAGTTCTCAGCAGAGACACAGCTGCGGATGCGCTGGCGGGCCGGACGATTCTCCTGTAGATCTAACAAGTCAAAGGAGTCGCTGGACAGGACACTGTCATCGCTGATGACGCTGGACGGGCGGCTGTAGCTCCGAGAGACGCCCTCAGAGGGGACACCAGGAGCTGACAAGGATTCCAGTGTGGGCATTTCGGAGCCAGCAATGGCAGGGTCTGTGGCACCATCCGAGTACCTGCTGCTGTGTTTCAAGATGCCCTTCCTGCGGCAGGACAGGCTGTGGGAAGTTCCCCTGGCTTCGTCTGGGGGAGGGGGAGAGAGGCCACTGCCGACGATGACGTCATTACTGTCCAGCAGCTCTGAAGACTCGCTGCGCTCAGGGGATGAGTAGTACCCAGATTCTCTCTGCTGGGTCTTTTTCAAGATGCCTTTCTTGGGCATCGTGGCTGACTGTTTGAGGCTGAGCTTCCCTGACAAATCTGCCTCAGGGGAACTGGGGAGGGCAATGCCAGTCCGGCACAAATCTTGCTCCATTTTGAAAGGAGAGGGTAAGGCAGGGCCCACGATGCCTTCTATGAAGCCAGTGCTGTGAGAGCGATGCTCACTGTTGCTTCGCTTCTTCAAGATGCCCTTGGGTCTCTTGGAACTCAGCTTGGATGGGCTTTCAGGTACGGAGTCCTGGGCAGACGGGGGTAAGTCATTCTCTTTCTTGGACTTCTTCAGTGACCGCTGCCGCTCCAGCACAACGTCAGAGGCTCCGGGTTTGGCCAGACCCTTCATCTTGGCTTCAGCCTCAGCCTGCAGCCCAGTGGAACGATGGTGCCAATCAATGATCCGCGCCAAGAGTGGAGACTCGGAGTCAGGAAGGGCATCACAGTCACAGACGCTGCTCTTGTAACCCCAGTTCACCCACCAGTGGTTGGCGATGTCCTCGATGGTGGCCCTGCGCTCAGGGTTTACCATCAGCATCCACCGGATGAGTCCTCGCGCATCTAAGGGGCGAAAGACAAAAACAATCAGGCTACCATGGGAGCATTGGGCAGGACGACTTTCCGTGAACGGTTACAAAGACATGCACAGGCAGGCAAAAACAAAAAAAAAGAATTCATTTGGAGTGTTCCGGTCCCACGCTGAAGCAGGAAGCCAAAGCCTACCCAAGGCTCAGGACCACACGCCACACAGCAGCCCCCTCCTGACTTTCCTTGTCTTTCTGTGGTGCAACTTCAAATGTGTACAAGTGCATGTGTGTGTGCTGGCATGTACATCTGTGTGTATGTGGAGGCCGTGAGACAACTTCTGGACCCGTCTTCAAGCACATCACCCGTTTTCTTTCATTCAGAGTCTCCCACCGGCCTGGGCCCTGCTGAGTAGGCCTGGCTGGCTGCCAGCCAACCCCAGGGGCCCATCCAGTACAACCAACCCCCAGCGGGGTCATAACTGCGCCGTGCCAGGTGTTTTGGGGTGAGTTCTTATGATCAAACTCATGTCTTCACGCCTACAAGGCATGCTGCCATCACCTGTGCTACCCACACCCACCACCTATGATCTCCTTTTCCACATGCAAAGGAATGTCCTGGAACCCCTGACACCGCTGTCACCCCATGTCTGCATCAGGTACGAAAGGCCGGGTGACTGGGAAGGAATGCAGACTCAGTCTCACTGCCGCTGTGGTCTGTGTCACTCTTACCAAAACAGATAGCAGTCTCACCAGAAGCCTCCCAAAGGTAGGTGCATGCAAACACCCGGAAAAGGCTCTGGGGGCTGAGGACAGAGAGGAGCTCACCTGCTCCAGGCGTGGCTCTTACCTGACACACCTGGGCAGGTAGAACGGCTGTCTGCATGACTGGTCCCACTCCCAAGGTCTTAACCAGGACCTAAGGGCCACACCCAGTGAGCTCACCTCCTGTGTCTGCGGTAAGCCCTATTGGTACCCACCATTGAGAGCTGATCTTTATCTGCTACCCAGGTGGCCACAGCCTTTCTTAAAAGGAAAAACAAAGTCCCTTTGTAGATCCTGCAGCCAGCGATACAGGGGCAAGGCCCCCAGGGTGCTGAGGAAGACACGGGAGCCAATCAGAGTTGATGAACCAACTTTCAGGGTCATGCTGGGCGAGCCAATCAGAGTTGATGAACCAACTTTCAGGGTCATGCTGGGCGAGCCAATCAGAGTTGATGAACCAACTTTCAGGGTCATGCTGGGCCTGTGCCTCACCTGGCACTTACACCCTGGGAGGCTGCCTCAGCCCAGCCATGTATGAAGGCGGACAAGAGGCTGGCACAGCCCAGCAATATGGACAGGGCGATCTGATGGACACTCCTGAGAAGGGACAGGATGACCAATCACTAGGCAAGGGTTTCCTGAACTCTTACGAGGTGCTTGAAGTTTACCAAGGTGCAGGGAAGTTTGCTGGCACCAATTAGTGATTAAAGACCAGCACCACAGGAGTCACGTGTCTCTCTCTGTCTCTCTCGGTCTCTCTCTGTCTCTCTGTCTGTCTGTCTGTCTGTCTCTCTCTCTCTCTGTCTCTCTCTCTGTCTCCCTCTCTCTGTCTCTCTCTCTCTCTCTCTCTCTCTCTCTCTCCTCCTCCTCCTCATCTATCTACCACTTACCTGTCTATCCACCCATGTTACTCCATGTTAATTGTCATCTTTCTACATTGACAAATTGACATAAATTTGTTTGCAAGTCAATGCCCACAGCTTTTTTTCAGGCATCCTGTATACGCAGAGCAGTGAGGTCCCAGGACTCTGGGCAGGTATGTTTGACACTCTGGCTTCTGCTCTCAGACTGTAAATAAGCAGCCCTTTCTTTGTGTGCTAAGTGCTGGGTTTGTCACATTTTTGTTCCTCCCGCCAGAAGTCTGCCATTTAAAACTCACCCCCCAACACACACACACACACACACACACACACACACACACACACACACACACACACACACACACACGGCAGAAATTCTGTCTACTGTCCTCAAGTGAAAAAACATGATGGACCTTCAGGAGAAATCATGTGTGGTAGATACGCCTCATTCAGCCATGAGTAAAAGTGCCACTGGCCCCTGAATTTAACAGATCGAAAATACATACCAAATAAGGTGACCTTAAACATAAATACACCAAAAATGTTACATACCAATAAAGACAAAAATACTTGGTTTGGCAGGGCAGTGGTGGCGCACGCCTTTAATCCTAGCACTCGGGAGGCAGAGGCAGGTGGATCTCTGTGAGTTCAAGGCCAGGCTGGACCGATAGCCTCCAAAACAATACAGAGAAACCCTGTCTCGTAAAAACAAAAACAAAAAAACCAAAACAAAACAAAAAAAAATACTTGGTTTGTAACCGTTTTATAAAACAACTATGAATAATTTAAAAGAAAACAACGGTGTGTACATTAAATGGAATGTACACAAATATTAACCACATTCTATGCTGGCCACTGGTCCACACTCTTGTATACACCTGGTGCTCTCCTACGGAGAGGTAGAACTTTCGACCTTGGTCGCTCTGACCAAGGAAAAAAATCCCAACGGCAACAGAGCCTAGTTGCTAAGTACAATTAACAGGAATTCCTGATATCCTGTCCCTCTTTGAGCCCCTAGCAGCCAAGTCAGATATCCAGGCTCTGTTCTGGAATGACCAGCCATCAGGAGGCACTTCAGAGACAGAACCCACACAGACAGGCACAGAAGTTAGGGACTCTGTGGAGGTTACAAAGAAAATGGCTCCCAAAGGGAGAGTGGCACGATTAGGTGTGGGCTTGTTGGAGGAGGTGTGGCCTTGTTGGAGGAAGTATGCCACAGAGGGGGCGGGCTTTGAGGTCCCTTTTCTCAAGCTTCACTCAGTGTGACAGTTAGTCCACTTCCTGTTGCTTGCAAGACGTCGTATTCTGAGCTCCAGCACCAAGTCTGCCTGCACGCGGCCATTCTCCCTTCATGATCATGAAGGACTGAACCTCTGAAACTATAAGCGAGCCGCCCTCATTGAATATTTTCTTTATAAGAGTTGCCCTGGTCTTGGTGTCTCTTCACAGCAATAAAAACCCTAACTAGGACAGACACACAGCCCCAGCATCAACCCCAACCCCCAGAAGACTAAAAGGTACAGAGACCCCAAGTGAGGCCAGAAGCAAGCCACCCCACACAAAGGACAGATAAGAGCCCACCTATCTTGCTTCCCTATTGGCCAACAGTGCTTTACTGACACATACACAGGACTCCCCATCACATGGTGGTTGCTTAAGCAGACAGGCTTGTTTCAGGGCAAAGCATGGCTGCTACGCAAGAAGAAATTATGTAACCATGTCCATGAGCTCAGGCAGCGGACACAGTGGTGAAAATATCAGAGTAGTGGCCACCAACCGGATTATGGGTGAGCCTCGGCCTCCTGGCAATACAGATTAATAGAAATGGGTTAATAATTAAGACAGAGCTAGCCAGTAAGAAGCCTAAGCCACTGGCCAACAGTTTGATAATTAATATGTCTCTGTGTGCTGTTTGGGGCTGAAGGGTGGCGGAACCTGGCGGGACAGAACACAGACTACAGCCACCCTTGTGGCCCTCACCATTATGGGAGGGAACTTATGTCTACATGGCCTGTGAGGGACCTCAGGGAATACAAAGCCTCTCCAAGCTTTAATTTATGGCGGCGAACTGGCTTGCCACGTTTTTACAGAGTGTAGAAGCAAGAAAGGATCCTGGGATTCTCTGAACACCTCACTGGGGCAGCCTGGCAACCCAAAAAGCCAGCTTTTCCAGGAGCTGTTAGGAAAGAAGAGTGGGGAACAGCAGGAGGTGCCCTGTAAATCAAGAAAGCGTGTGTGGCCTGGGCCAGATGAACCAAGCACTCTCCCCTCGACCCCGACCTCCATGGGACACACACCTGAGGGCTGTGTAGGCTCCCGGTATTCTCCACTGCTGATCTGTCGAATGAGGTTTTTGTGATCAAAGCCATCGAAGGGCATCGTTCCATAAATGAGAGTGTAAAGCAGGACACCCAAGGCCCAGCTGTCCACCTGGAACACAGAGACAGGACACATAGGAGCTAGGATGCAGACCCCAGATGCCTTCCAAAGCGTGGGCATTGCTGTGTGTGAACCACCACCCCAAGGACCGGTTCCCACAGCCTGGCAAAGGACAGCCAGGCCCCCCTGTTTAGGAGCACCCTGAAGTAGGGAAGGATCACTGGCTCTCACAGTGATTCCGTGAGGCAGGCAGAGTCTCAATTGCTTCCAGCTCAATTTGAAAAACGAAAATAGTAAAGAAACAAAAATAGAGGCACAAGAAGACTGACTAAAGGCTTCCCAGTAAAGCCCCTCCCTCCCAGGCAATGGAGGTGTCTGACAGTAAGCAGTCCCTCCCTTCACCTCCCCGGAGGGCTCAAGGGTTCCAAAGTCAAACCCTACCAGAGCCAGGCAGATGATAAACACAGAAACGAAACAGAAGAACCTGGGGTGTGAGTGTGGAATCTGGGGACTGAGACAAACTGTGGTATGCGCTCACCCACCTCAGGCAGGCAGGTTCTCCCTGACTCGTACTTCGATGTGCAAATGAAGGCCCAGTACTGCCAGAGCGTTCGCTTTTTACAGAGAAGTCAGAAATATGGCTTTTCTGTGCAGTCTTTCAGCTATTAAATATTTGTTCAGTTTTTTTAAAGGGAGATGACCGAAGGTGGCCAAATGAAGCCTGTTTGCTGACCAGACCTGGGTGCCAGACTACAACCTCAGACACCAACCGCCAAGGGACAAAAACACATCCAACGATAAATCTACAGGCCAGTTTTAACACTGTCCCTCACATTTTATTTTCCGAAGACCTCTTTACATTAACTGTTAGTGATTCTTGGCATTCTTCCCTTTACCCTAGCCCTGCCACCAAACTCCTCTCAGATGGATAACATCCTATGCACTGAGCGGCTGCTATTTAAAGAGGAGGGGTGGTGCACATTCGCAAAGGAGGCGCACGTCTTACAAGATGACAGTCACTGACTCAGAGTTCCACAGATGCTGCTGTGCTGGCTGGCTTTTGTCAGTTTGACACAAGCTCAGGTCACCTGGGAAGAGGCGGCCTTAACTGAGAAAAAGGCCTCCATCAGACTGGCCGGTAGACCAGTCTGTGCTGTTTTCCTGTTAATCGTAGACGTGGAAAGGCCCGTCCACGTCCACTAGGGACAACCCTGGGAGGGCAGTCCTGAGTTACACAAGGACCAGGGCTGAGTGAGCCATGAGGAGCAGTCCAGTAAAGTGTTCTCCATGGTCTCGGTACAGTTCCGCCTTGAGCTCCTGCCTGACTTCCCTTCAGGATAGGCTGTAAGATGAAATAAACCCTTTCCTCCCCAAAGCAGCTTTGATTGTGGTGTTTATTACAGCAATAGAAAACAAACTAGTGTAACTTACAGTGACCACAAAAGTCTTTCCAAGGCATGTTACAAAATACATTTCTCATGAAAGAGAAGATGCCATTAAAATTTATTTCCCTAAATATACATACTACTAAATATGAGCAAAAGAGATATACACTGATAGGAGTTTTCTTTGTTCTGTTTATTTTTATACAATAGGGAAAAATTAAGAGTCTAGAGTAAGGAAAATTATTAAACACATAATAATAGGTGCATAAAGCAAGATATTATGTGGCTATTACAAATTATATGTTAATAATAACATTGGAGGTGTCACAAAATAATTATAAAATGACAAAAAGCAAGTGTGTTCACATATGTGTGTGTATGTGTTTTGTGTGTGTATATGTGTGTATGTATGTGCCATAGTATGCATAATTTGCCCTTTACTAATTTGATCTCAATTACTTCTAAAAATATTACTTTGAAAAAAGTCTAAAAATCAAAGAGATCCTAAGTGGCTACCTGTCTTTGAGGTTTCTGTAAGCTTCCCCACATCTTCTCCTATAAATCACATGACAGCAATCTTCTCTGTTTAGTCTTTGGGGTTCTAAGAACTCTCCAAGATCTAGTTCTTGCCCCTCGTCTCCCCCTTCTCTCCCTCTCCCTCCAGCTCTCCCATGAGTCTGCTCACCTCTGGCCCTCGGTAAGGCCTCCCATTGACAATCTCAGGAGATGCATAGAGTGGGCTCCCACAAAATGTCTGCAGGAACTTGTCCTTCTGGTACAGGTTCGAAAGCCCAAAGTCAGCGATCTGCAAAGAGAAGCATGACCCACAGATACGTGTTAGAGTGAAGTCGCCAGTGTCTGCAAGCCAACCAGAGCCACCCAGGGCAGATGAGGACCCCTGAGCCACCACTGTCTCCCCAGTCCTAACAGAAGTGGGTTCCACCTTCCCGTCTCACAGGCTTACTGTGAGAATGAGAGACACCATCAGTGAGATGTGACGGAGCACACAAGCCCTCCCCAGCAAGCAGGCTCAGTGTAAATGTTTGTTCCAGCCTTACTCCCGTGGTGTTGCACTCACTGTCTCTACTTTTGTAAAGGGTTTCTGTAATGCCCTTTAGAGTAATGCTGTTACATTTGCGTACAAATAGTGTATTACACATACATATCTGTACTACTACACATATGTACATGTCTGCCTTCCCTACCAGACCTGCGTCCCTATGGCAGGTTCCACATCTTTGTAGCACCCTCCTAGCAGCTGCACCTGGCCAAGAAATACTCATCACTGGAACAGGCACTATATTTTGAAAAGCATATGAAAATAATAGTTGTATAAAATAACAATAATCCCAATGACCATTTACTAAAAACTCCCAATCATCTATCATAGTTGAATTCTCTTATCCAATTCTATCAAAAACTGTATTTATAAAAATATGAACATATTTTATACCAAATGGCATAAGAATACCTAATACTTGTATTCTACTTAAAAATAGACTTAAATTTTTTAAATGCTCAAAAGTGGTCAATTTTATGTCATGGAAATTTTACACAACATTTTACGAACTCTTCTTGAAGAAGGAAACTGGTTTAGGGGTTGGAGTTACTCATCTGAAGATCTGCGGGCACTGGGCAGCTGTGTGCATGTGCGTCTCTCACACTTCAGGCCCGAGACCCAAGAACCACACCACCCCGGGGAAGCCGTGGATTCTTCAACTCTCAGCCAGCCTTGCGAGCTGAAGCCCTTGTGTGTTCCACTATTCCCAGCCTGATTTCCACTTGAGCGATAGCAATGCCCAGGGAGCCTCTGGGGCTGAATGCCACAGCTGCTTTTTTGAATGAAGCCCCTTGAATAAGCAGCCTTTTTTTTGTTTTTAAAAAAAGTCATCCTTGGATGAATGGAATGGCATTCAAAGCAGCTGTGCTGTGCATAACCACCCTAACAAGAGGCATCCTTGGGGCTCAGGTTGCACTTAACTGCTCCGAATTCCACTTGCCTATCAAGGCCCCCGACTGGCTTGTGGGAAGTCAGCAGGAAGCTTTACAAAGTGTGCCCTGTCAATCAGAAGGACAGGCCAGCTTCAGTTCTGGAGATTCCAAGGAGCCCGGAGGCTTCAGCTGTAGCTCTGCCAGCACAGCGCAGGCCAATGCACTCAGCAGTGCCAACACTGTCTGGGGCACACTGGAGCTTTCCAACACAAGTGTGAGCATATCCACTGCACACACACAATCGCCCGCCCCAGGAGCTTTCACACCGGCTGGGTGTCTCTGCTTGCCAGGCAGGCACTCTGGGGGAAGTATGTTTACATTTCAGCCCATTCCCATCCTCACAGACTGGTGCTTATCAGCCTCCCTGTAAAACTGTCATTGCTGCGGACGCAAGATTAATAGAAATCTAGATTAGCCTGTGTTCTTGGCCCTTGGACGGAAAAGTAATATTAATCAACACGCACACAGCATTCTCAGACCCTGAGCCACTCAGTCCTAGGATTTATAAAGCCACATGGAGCTTATGTCAACTATTGCTAAATGAGGCGACATCACTGGGTGGGAATCCCCTCAGAAGCCTCAGTTCTCCCTTCTGTAAAATGGAAGCAAGAATATTCCATGCCCCTGTGGTGTCATGACAATTAAAAGGCATAAAGCATAAGTGTGTACAACAGCAATGGCACATTTGTCTTTAAGTCCCCATAGGTAGTTGATTTCATAGTTGATTTCAGGATATATGAGAAAGCATTTATTGTACCACTAGGAACTGCCAACAAGGAAGGAACAGAAAAAGTTCATGGAGTCGAGCAGTCACACAAGTAAATTACTTGAATCAGAAAATCAAGAAGTCATTCTCTCCTTTGACATGAGTCAGGAGGTGGTAAGTCACATGGGTCTAATTAAAGCATCTCCATGTCTACCAGAGACAACCACCGGGCTTAGGCTCAAAGCCAGGGGCAGTGACCAACATCAAACAACAGTAGAAAGCTGCTGCTGTTTCTATCATTTTCACCCAAGTTTTTCTTTGGGTCATGGTACTAGTCTCCACCAAATGCCATTATTTAAGGCCTCCTTGTAAATAAACACTACTCTACCAAGAGACTCAAACTAAATACAAACACCAGCAACCCAAGAAAAGGCAAAACGTACAAAAATGCAGGAAAACCTGGAATAATTGAGGGTTAAGTGTAAACATAAGCAAAAGCCATCATGTTTTAGAACTGATCGCCATGTAGAAGAGGCCTGAATGGCAGGAAATGAAGTGGCCAGAGGTTTGGGATCCTAAGGAGATTTGCTGATGATCAAAGAAAAGCAACAAGATACCCAGGGTGTCTCCAGCTGCCCAACTCTGTAAAAGGGTGCTTCCAGCCATCAGCTCCACCTCTTTCCATCTCTAACAGAGGCATGCCGGTCAGGGCGGCCCTTCTCCAGTCTGGTCCCTGAGCCAGCATCAGCAGCATCGCTGCACTGTATCTTGGACTCGGCATGCCCACCCCGGCGTTCTTTGCTGATACACTGCTCCGCTCTGGAGAAAGAGGCCTCTCTGTTTAGGGGGGCTTGCTTATTTGTCTGTTTTTGTTGGTGGTGCTGGCACTCAACTGTTGCCCTGTCCCACAGGGGATCAGAGCCACCCTCTGGTGTCGCACTGCCTCCTGCAGCCCAGCTTCCATCCTGAAGGGCATCAGAGGAGGTAAAGCTCATGAGTTTCCTTTGTGACTGTCATCGTGACTGTCCATCCTCTCTAGAGGTGTGCCCTGCTAAGTGAAAATCAATCTGAAAGAGATAAATTACGGGGTCACTCACATGTCAGCAGACTTAACCCCACTTCCGTGCAGGTGAACCCTGAAGACAAGTGCAGTCTGAAATAATCCAGGCACAGAAAGACACTCATTGTCTGATTCTGTTTACACACAGTCCCTAGAGTACACAAATTCATAGAAACAGAAAGTAGAACAGCAGTGGTCACCGAGGGAAAGAGACGCCAGGAGCCAGGACTGAAGGGGCATGGAGGTCCAGGTGTAGAGGAGGCTGTGGTCTACAGCTGGGCGCTTCCTGCCTCTGTGCTACACCCAAGTACAGTAGGTTTTAAGTTACATTCTCCATATTTTGCCACCATCAAAAAAAGAATTAACCCCAAGGTCACTATGAATGACAAGCTCACTTGATGGAAAAGGAGATACCAGCTGGTTGACTCAAACTGCTAACAAAGGAAGCTTGTGACGAGACTTCTCAGGAATGTAGGACAGTTCCTTGCAGTATCTTAGATGAAGGGCCCTACACTCAAAGATCAGAGGTTTGAGTCACAATAACTGGGTTTGAACTTTGACCTTGTCATTACCAGACAATAATCAGTAGGTACCACCACACCGCTCCATTTGTCTGTCTACAAAACGGTCTCCGAATGCTTGCCTACAGGGTTGTTAAAAGGACAGGAGACTGTAAGTCACAGCCATTAATGGCCAGAGGCCAGCTCAGAACGAAAAGCCCAAGGAGCCAGTAACCAACAGTGATCTTCACCCGTGTATGAGAGAGGCAGGTCCAGCGTGGGGGGGCTGCAGGCCAGGACGGGGAAAGCCCAAGGACTCTAGTTCCAGCCCCAGCTCCATTCCTTCCCAGATGTGAGGCATGCCAGTCTGTCTAGCACTACTCCTACACGGTCCCAGACCCAGCAACATCAGCACCACCTTAGAAAGCAGACCGCCAGGCCCCGCCCTAGGCCCCGCCCTAGGCCCCGCCCCAGGCCCCGCCCTAGGCCCCGCCCTAGGCCCCGCAGAATGGACAGCTGCATTGTAATAAGAGCCACAGGAGTTTCACTTGTACTTCCAGCCCTCCTGAGCCTGAGACTCTATCTGTAAAATGTGACTGATGCTGACCCCATGATCTCCCAGCAAGGGCTGTCGAGCAAAGAAATTAACAGACACGTGGCAAGTGCAAACTGCACGTCCACCATACAGCAGGCTTTCAGTAACAGTTGCAACACTTCTGTATCTCCCGGTCTCGGCTGTCTCTGCTAGGAAACGGATCTGCAATAGCAATAACCAGGGCTGAGAAAATTACACTCAGTGGGTAAGAACTGAAATGATCACACCAGCAGCATGAGCCAGGCACTGTGCAGGAGCCCTATATAAACCCCGTAAACAGCTCTCACAACAGGCCTCGGAGAAAGTTCTCACTTTTATTTCCTGTTGGCAGATGAAGAAACTGAGGCAAGCGGCTTGCCTGGGGAGTCTGCACAGAGCCATCCTGGCTATTAAACTCCGTGTCAAGGGGAGTTATTGTTCACAGGAAATGGACTTTCCATGACTCCAGGAGACTAGTAATCCCTTGCAGGAAGACACAGTCCATCGCTCTTTTCCGGCCTTAGAGTTAATTACTGGCTTTGCCCAGGACGGCCACTGTCCTGTGCGGTTGCAAGGAAGGCAGTGAGTGGAACAAAGAGCAGGGGGAGTGACAAGCTCTCATCTTTGAAAGATTCAAGCTCACGTGGTCTTGAGACCAGGGACAATCTGGGAAATGCTTAATAGAGGGTGTGGCAAGGGCTGCCTTGCACAGGGTGCCAATGCCATTTAGCTGTACACACTTCTAGTACTCTGGATGGCTGCTCTGCGCATAGAGGCTCCGTCGGCCTGGTCGCTGGCCACTACCAGCATTTGGAGATTCTCTCTCAGGGACAGCTGTCTGCTACACAACAGCACTCTAGTAACGGAAGTGAAAGAACCCTCGGGTGACCTTCCCTCAGACAGAGGGCAAATCTTGGGGTTGGCAATAAAGAGTAGAATCTGGTGGAGAGGGTAGAAGTTTGTAGTCAGTCTC